GGAACAGCAAAGGGAAAGGAAAGGAAAAGGACAAAAGGACAGAAAAAGGAAGGCATGAAAAAAAACAGAAAGGTAAAGATAAGAAAGCAGAGAAAGGCACGCAGACAGAAGGAAAGAAACAAACAAAAACAATCAAACAAACACACAAAAGCACAAAACACATACGATCAGAAAAGCCAGCAAGCCAACAAAACACAACAAACATCACCGAGCAAATCAAAAAAAACAAACAACAAACAAGCAAGCAAAAGCAACCAACAAACAAGCAAGCCTCGCAAAGCAACCAAGAAAACACCAAAACACCACAAACACAACAACTCCCACAACAAAACAACACAACCAAAAAGCAACAAACAACTACAACACAAAAACCCAACTGTGCAAACTGCACCCTGAACTGTGCAATTTGCACTTTTCAAGTTTGAGCTCCAAAACCCAACTGTGCAATTTGCACTCTGGAGAGTGCAAATTGCACAGTTGTAGCCCGGACTAAATGATAATTTACTCTCCGAGAATTTAGTCGGGATCCGGACTAAATGATCATTTACTCTTTAGTCCCCGGACTAAATCCTTAAAAGAGTAAATTTAGACTCAAGTGATCTATCAGGTGGATCCAAGGCGCCGCCGCATCGGCAGAGCCGCGGCGTCGGCGGCAGCGGCAAACGTAAGCGGCGCAGAAGCAGCACCCGGAACTGCTCGGCGGGCAGACGGTACTCGGTCGCGACGGGAGCACCGTCAAGGCCGCCGCGCCGCCGCCTTGGGACAGAAGCAGGGCCCGAGATGCAGGATCGAGTGCAGTCCAGGGGTGTGTAGCGCGGCCGCGGCCAGGCGAGCGGCTTGCGTGTCGGGCAGGCCTGGTGTCCCAGGCTCGGCGGCCAACTCGGGGAGGACCCGTGCGAGGAGGAGGGGGTGCCGCGCGCTGATCACGAAAAGCGAGTCTGCCCAAGAAGCCCAGTGCGCGGCGCTGCGCGTCGCCAGGGCGGAGCGCAGCCCCAGTCCCCCCATATGCAGGGGGAGCTGGGTATGGGAGACGGGGCCTGGGGCCAGGGCGGAGGGGGCGCTCGCTGGTGCCCCGAGCAGGCGGGTGAGGCACTGCAGCACGGCGGTGTCGTGCCCCGCGGCAAACGCGCCCGTGTCCGCCGGCGGCAGGGCGCGCAGCAGGAAGTTGCAGCGGGGGAGGCTGCAGAGCAGGAGGAGCAGCCACGCCGACTGCAAGCAGGGGACCGCTGGGACCCGGTCCAGGAGCAGATCGTGGCGGGCGCGCACGTCGTGCAAGTGGCTGGCCACGAACGCGGGGCTGCCGAGGGGAGTGCCCAGCACGACGATGCCCTGGGCATCGGGTGGCTGAGCCCAATTGCCAGCCCAGGCAGTGGGCCGGGCGTCAGGAGGCAGCGCATCCAAGAGCGCGGTGGGCTCTTCACCGGCGGCGTTCCAGGCCCGGGTTTTGCCCAAGTGCACATGCACGTTGGCGCGGTCGCGTAAGGCGGCCCGGAGTGCGCCGAACACGGCGCCTACCCGATCGGGGGCGCAAGTAGTAGCGTACACATCGTCCAAGTAGGCGTAAACGTGTTCCCCGGGCTGCAGCGCAGAGTGGGCCTGGAGGAGGGCGGCGTGCTGGCCCACGGCGTAGAGGGCGGGCATCAAAGGGTCCCCCTGCTCGCCCCCCCTCTCCCTGCCAGACATCGTGGGGCGCGCCGTGCTCGTCGTAGAAGGTATAGCGGCTGGGGGCGCCGTAGAACTGGGACACGAAGGGGAGAAGGGGCGCGACCAAAACGCCGATCCAAACACTGCACCTGCACCGGCACCAACATCAGCACGGCAACAGCACCTGCAAAAAAGCGCCGGTCCAAAGCCAGCACCTGCACCTGCATCAGCACGGCAGTAGCACCTGCAAAACCAAAACGCCGATCCAAAGCCAGCACCTGCACCTGCACCTGCATCAGCACGGCAGCAGCACCTGCAAAACCAAAACGCCGATCCAGAGCCAGCACCTGCACCTGCATCAGCACGGCAGCCTGCAGCTATCTGGGGACAAATCGGCCTAAATGTTCAATTCCATTGGGTTTCAGTTGATCGGAGAATCCTTTATGCATCGCGAGGGTTAGGCAAGGAAACCTTTTTAGTCTATGACAGTGGGCCCATGCGGGGACACTTCCGCCCACCGGCCCACCAGCCTCTGCCGGAGCTTGTATTTCTACTATTTGTGGGTAGACAGAAACAATATTATGAAAGCGAAGACCTTCGATAAATGTCTCGCGAAAAGAAAAACTTGTTCAAACCTCATCGCGAATCTTTTGATGGTTTAAACTATGGTTGAAAGTCTGAAAGGTTGTTTTACATAGTAACAAGAAGCTAGTAGTAACAAGTGCATCGCTTCTAGTGACAAGTGCCTTACTAGTAGTAACAAGAAACTACATAAACTCCTGAATTAGATCAACTCCCATGTCAATGTGCTGAGGTTTGCCGCGGCCCATAAGATCGCATCTCGGCTATTGCAATTAAGTATAGTGTATGAAGCCAGTCACTCCGCCCAACAAAAATTCAGACCACACAAACATGAAATGCGCGTGAGGTCTCTAGACGCCAAATGGGCATGACTCGTGAGAGTGATCAAGACTAGAAATTTTAAATGTTGCCGGAAGCCATGCCAGAATGAAACCCATTCATGCTATTTATTCGACCTGGTCCTTTGAGCTGCTTGTTAACGGCAGCTCGCGGCCAAATTTGAAACATATCAACCCTTAAGTCCATGCCTCAGTTCTTTCACGTAAAACAACACAGCCGCCGAGCATGTATAACTCACATTTCGTCAGATGTGCCTAGGGCCAAATCTTGTTGCTTCCTTCTGCCTTCACATTCTCCAAGACACAGGCGTTTTTACAAACGGCAACACGAAACAAGCTTGACACTGCAGGGCTGAAAAAGCAAGTGAACTCCAAAAACAATGCCACGCTCCCAGTTGTTGAACACAACGCTGGACAAGCAGCAACAGGCAGCAACTACAGGCTCAACAAATGTAAAAATAACAGGAAAGGGCACAGCCCTCTCTGCACAGCACTGGGTGAATATTGCTGTGATATTCTCCCGACCTGGTGTGAATCAGTAATCCCTAGAAGGTAAGAGTCTCCCAGATCTCTTCGCAGCGCTCCAAAGCCACTCGCATTCCGTCTTCACCGGGCGTGGGTGTTCAGTCCAATCTGGACTGGAACTAATAGATAGATCTTTGCATGAGAGTTACGGACAAACCCGTTTCACTTGAGACTAGCAAGGGTGAACAAAAGCTTGCAGAGTGCTCGAGACGATTTGGAAGGCAAGTGTGCACTAGCAGGTCTTACAGACCAGGCACGAGGATCGAACCCCCTAATTACGCCAGACCACCCGGCTGGGGAGGGGCCAAAAGCAACTCCTGTGAGCTTCTGAGTTGTCGTGACTTGATGCATCTGGACTTCACAGTGGCCCAAAACCACGAAGAAAAAGCGCGTCCACTGCACACCCAGCTGCCAACATGGTAGTGGAGCCTGCCACCACTCCAACTCCCTCTGTGCGTGGTGACTGCTGCACCAGGATTTGAGCGACGGCACCCTCTATCAACCCACTGCAAGCCTGGAGCGATGGCAAACAGAACAGCTGTCACTATGAGGATCGAGTTCGACGCTGCAAGGGCAAAGGACAGCATTTGGTCTGCTTGCCAGCGAGTAGTCTTCCTTTCCGGTTTGTCGTGTGCGCTTAAAGATATCGAGATCAACTTCACCGCCACCGCGGCCACCTGCGAAACCTCGACTCGCCAGCAGTCTGACGGTCTGACCTGATACAAACTAGCTTTTGGTAGGTGCTTGACTTGTATGCTAGTTTGATAACATTGCCCAAATGCATCAAAAGCACACATATGCAACGCAAAGCGTTCTCGTTTTCTGTCCTAGCAGGCAGCCAACAAACACATTTCCCTGCGTGACTTCCAACGCTTTTTCCATTCTTTTCTAAGAAAGCTTTCGGTGTCTTCACCATTCTGTCGACGGTGTTTCTTCTCGAGTCGCGGTGACGCCTTTTGCATAAAGGCTAAACATACCAATATATAGATGGAATGAAACAGATGCATCATGAAACATGAAAACGTTGTTTTTGATAAAAGGATGTGTGAGGATGTGTGAGGTATGTGTTTGGTTTGTTGTCAGATTCTCGCTGGCTCTTGTCGCGTGGAAGACTGCCACCCATCGTCTACTGTGCAATGGTCCTTTGCTCCTGTTACTGGTAAAAGGATGCAAAGGGTATAAAGGGTTGCGGATGGTTGTAGTACTTTTTGGTTAAGGGTATTCGGTATGTTTTTCAGTATTGCCTGATGAATCCAAAGCAGTGGAGGTCGGGCATCGTGTGAAGGCTGCCGCTGAGTGGATACGTTCGATTCTTGATGGCGTGCAATGCAAGGCTGGGAACTGCTGGAAAGATTCATCGGCAGCGATTGCATGCACTTCTTCTTATCAACCGACCCTCACCATGTGCGTTCTGTATACGTGCATGTGGTCTATTGTTGCGTCTTGTGTCTCCTGTCTTGCCAAACATGCTTGGACGACAAGCCATGCCGGTCCGCTGAAGGCGTAGTTCAGATGTTAATGAGTTGCCAACAGCTTCCTCCCGTCCGGAAGCGATGGCCTCTATCACTCCCTCCAGCTCTCTTGCGCAACTCATCAACAATCCTCTTTTTGACATCATGAGCTTCAAAAAAAACATCGACAAGCGAAGACGCAACAACCGCCTGTGAGCAGCCCGGCAAAAGATTGTGAAAAGTTGACTCATCAAGATGTCAGCCAGTTCTCAAACTGACTTTCTTTTTGAACCCTCATGAGCCCATATCCAATCCTGAGGGGTGCTGTCCATTCAACACTGAGCTCTGCTTGACCCATGTTGCTACATCCGACGGCCAATAAACTAGCAGCAGATTGAGCACACAGGCCACACATTTTCGCACATGATTCTAGCAGTTTCAGTCGGGATCCTTTGGATGCCTACACGTGCAAAACATATTCAAAGGGCAGGTTCACAGAGTATGGCATTGCCGTTGGCATCGCCATACTTGCCATGGACATCCGGCTAAGCTTCCGCAGTGCCAGAAGCTCCTTGCTCATCCACTTGCGCAGATCGACCTTGAAGAAGCCCGAGGGAGTGCGTTGTACACTTTATGAAGAGCTTCTTTATGTTTTGCAAATGATTCTGATGCGGTGTCTGCAACCAAAATCAGAACATGTTCTAGATCAAATTACATAAATCTCGAGCCCAAATCCAAAAAATACTGAAATTAATATATATATATATGTATATATAGTTATATAAAACAAAGAAAACTCTTTTCACGGGCCAAGTCGACCAAGTCCTTCACAGTGGCGGTGTTGCTGCCGCGCAACTTCAGCGTCCTGGTCATAAACTCCGAGAAGGGGATCTTGGTGAGAAGTTCATCGCCTGCCAAATGTGCTGACTTCACTATGCTTCACTCAGAGCTGCTAATGAGCTGTTCGGAGATTGGGGGACACTGGCCAGGACACTCAGAGGCAACGACGTGATGGCATGAAGGATGGGGGGACGACTAGATGGAACTCTAGGTTCGGTCAAAAAATCATGCGAGAGCTGAAGAAAGCAACGACATGCAAATCCTGTGATGCTTCAAAGAAGAAAAAACCACGCAGGACCTGTTTAGCGAGCAAAAGCTTAGATTATAAAGATAATATACTGTTTGCATCTTTTTGCTCAGTCTTAGGAGCAACTCCCAGATCCACTGCCCTTTGTTGAAGGATTAAGGTGAACAACAGTTCAAAGCCTGTCTATCCAAAGTGCTCCAGCATTCCGCACCTACTTGTAAGGCCACCTAGCTTTACATGCAGCATCATTCAGCATGTCCATCTCAACCCCCCCTCACTCATCCAGCGATGGATTCTTGATGGATTGCTAAATTTGACCTATCTTGGCCAGCTTCTTGCCTTCTCCCTCGAAGAGCACGTCTGCGAAGTTAATCAAGGTCGCAGCATCCACGTCGGCCTCTCTGAGGACACTTCGGACTTGAGGATTCTCCTCAGGCACGGAAGCTCACAGGATGTGTCGGTTCGATTAGACTTCCACAGTGTATCGAAAATGATCTAGACCTAAATGCTTCGGGGTACCATATCACGTGGAGGTTAGTTAGCGCCACATTAGTGCCGTAAAGCCAAAGCTTCAATCATGTGTTGGAACTCATCCAAGTCGATGCAGCCATCATTGTTCGTATCAGCTCCCGCAGTGAGGCACCTCAACATGCACCAGCACATTCTCCGGTAGACAGCAACAAAATTCAGCAAGTGCTGTGTAAAGTGGAAAAGCAACTCTCAAGGTCCTAGCTGCTCTCTTGACCTTATTAAGAGCTTTCTTTGGCGTTCTTACCCTTACAGCTATGCCCAACCTCATACTTGCTCATGCCAAGTGTGTGCCTTCTTTCTCAGCTGGGGCACTGTTGCAGGACCTCGGTGGTCCAACTTACCTGCAGGGCTTCCTTCTCTGCATCGGCAACAGCCGTGATCACCTCACAAAGCACGCCAATCAACATGTTCATCACGGTGATGGCTGACCTGGACCGATCAAACGATATCGGATGCGAATAGCTTCGGACGTCCAAACATATTTATATAAAGTTGCTTCAGGTTCCCTGAAATGTTCTCCGGTGATGGAAATGGCCTTGTTGGGCCACAAAGCAGCATTAAAGAACTGCTATTCAGCCAAGGTGGCGAAATAATGAAGAAGTACCCTAGAATAAAGCCAATCCAACTCTCCTTAAGCAACTCTGTCATCATCTCAGACACCGAATCCAACAGCGTGCCGTGCATAAAGAGCTTGTGCATGGCCATCAAGACGCTTGGGAAGTACTCATTTCCGGCGGTGGTTTGGTCAAACAGAAGCCTGAAAACAATGGCATAAACATAGAGGCAAATACCCAAGAGGATCAGGGTAAATCCCACGGATCGAGCTGCAGATGCCACTGCCTTTACCATGATGAGAAGTTCAGGAACCATTCGAATAAGTCTGGCCATTCGCAGAAGCCGTGTCAGACGCATCAGGCGAAAGATGCGAAGAAAAGAGGCATCTCCGAAGACATTCTCAACAGCACCACCAGATGCCATGAAAGCAATCACAATATTCATCACCTTAGCTTAAAATTTGCTTCAAATTGAATCTATGAATCAATCATGGGCCAAATCATAACAAGTCAAACAAAGAGAGTGTATTGAAGAATTTCTATGAATGTCCATGAATCTTTTGAAATCGAGGATCCAAATTTCATCCCACTGAGCTCCACACCCAAGTCTCGGCGACCATCAAGACGACAAGCACCAGGTCGAAAACAAACCAACTATCTTTTAGGCTATTGCACTTCCTCTCAAAGGCACAAAAGCGAATGCACAGCTCCAAGAAAAAGTAGAGGCAAAAGAGTTGCTCACAAACGATGAAGATCCACGGGGTGTTTGTGATGATATCGCCCTCGTTTAAGTCCAGGTCGATTGACATGTAGATGGCATATGTCACGATCACCACCATTGTGAAGTTCTCAAAGAGAGAATTCCTGGCAATCCTTTGACAAATGCCTCAAAGCTTCATGCTCTTCTGATTCAGCAGATGCATGAAAGTCCGAAAAGAATTCAATGCATCTATATAAAGCCACTGACGAAATGGTGTCTCCAAGCTTTCCCCCTTGAATGGAATTAAGCACTTTTGAAAGGCAAGAAAGGACTACCACAAAAGCTCTAGCTGGAAGACTGGCACAGGTTTCGGTCTTTAATATTAAATCAATATATATATATAATATAAGCGTGTCTTGTTTTCTCTGTTTTTTAAAGCCCGCTCCTACTCAATAATCAATTAAGTTGAAAGGGCAACTAGTTCGCTTCTAGACATGGACGCAGGATAGCGCTCGCACTAATGATTTGGTTCCTAGATTTTTGAGCATGTCTGAGTTGAAGCCTAGATACCTCTTGTCTTGTACATGTTCTTCACATCGTAGCGAAGCTCTGCACAATAGTCGTTTGCTAAAGCTGCCTTGATCTCTTTGCCATGACTGAAGATTGGATGCCTCAAGCATCATTTGTCTGGAAGGTGTCTGAAGCATCAACATGTTCTTTTGTGGTCTTTGAATGGAAGAAAATCAAAGAGGCCTCACGGTCTATTCCCTGTTTCTGAATGTGAAAACTGATGGCAACGCTTTATGGTGTCTCTGTGCGGCAGCCCGCCTAGGCTGGTTCGTGTTGTCCAGCAGGGCACTCCAATTCACGTGGCTCCCAGCTCGTTCCAGCCCAAGCCCACGAGATGGACGCGAACTATTCGAACCTCAGGTTCCGCACTTGCGATACTTCGCGCATGGAGTCAAGGCGTGTTTCACTCGATTGAAATTAAGGGTTTAGGAATGTCTGGAGTCTAGAAAGACTTTTTGATGTCAAACGTGGAGGTTCCATCGTTAGAGTCTCTTAGTGCGCAGTGTTCAACCCAAAGGTGGATGCGGTGATGCTCTATTTTTAGACATCATGTTGTTTCAGCTCAGTTGCAAAACCACTCGCACTTTCTGTACTTCTACAGTACACTATCATCTATGTCTATGTCTGTCTCATTCTCCTTTGGATTAGCGTTGTATGACTTCCACCATCCACTCGCTCCAACAAGCAACGAGGAGACTTCAGGGACTCTGCGGTCTCCTCCACCTGCACTGTGCTCTGACTCGTGGGTTCCTCAGTGGCTGACTGGACATCAAGCCTTCTTGGATCCGGAAGCCGACAAAACTCCCAGTGGCTTGGACAAACGCATTTGTATGTATAAAAAACGTTAAAAAACATCAAAACAATGAAAGTCAAAGGACCCGATAACAAAAATGTACTGTACAGCTTACTGTGGCTCACAGCGAGAAGAAACAAAAGTTAGGAGACGAAAGGAAGAATGTATTAAAGCAGGAGGAGCTCAGAAATGACTGTATGAAGGAATGAATGGATGAATGAATGCGTGACAAACTTGAGGCCAGGGGGAGGAGGTCGAAAGCTAGCCGAATCGCACCGGATGTACTTGTTACATAGTCGGCAAAGCATGTAGGGATTACATGTTTTGGGAGGAACGTTGCTATGTACATACTTTGCGCTAAAAAATGTAAATGTTGCATCGCTGACTGGGAAGGGTACATTGGAACAACCCGGGTGCACTCGTTGGCAGGCACGAAGATGCGTGATCGGCAAATCTGGGGGGTAAATTTACCCTCCGCTTTTGTATGCCTTGAGTCGGAAAAAGGGGTAAGCATTTCTGACATCATACGGACTGTACATACACTAGGGCGTCCGTAGTGTAGGAGAAGCACTGGCATCACAAGGACTGTGCATACACTAGGGCGTCCGTAGTGTAGGATA